TTTTCTTTCCTTTCCTTATAATATGGAATTGGATCATTACTTTTGCTATTCCTTATAAATAAAGAATCATGAGTGTGATCATAACAAAGAATCCCTGGAAATCTTTTATATGGTTTTAGATGATCAGTGTTTGATTCCCTCGACAAATTTTTCATCTTTTTCCTGGAATCATGCGTAAACAGCACTGCTCCTCTCTCTGCCAGTGTTTGGCAGCCTTCCCAATCATCTTTCACCAACGCCAAACCCTGACCATTGTAGCCCAACTCCAGCAAACCCACAATAGACCTTGCTTCAAGCACTCCCCCTCTATGAGACATTTATTGATAAAACATTCATATAGACAGACTAAATTTTAACTATATATTGTTTTGAGCGGTACAGATTTGTCCAGCTCAAGCATCAATAGTTTGAATTGATACATTTCAAAAGAATTAGATATTATTCCAACTCTTTTAAAGAAGTTGATTTTGCCCCAAGATAATATTGAACATGCATTTGGTTCTATAGTCAATAGATGTCCTATTTTTCCCGAGACTAAAAGTTGAATTAGTTTACAGAATTATTGTCTCCAACAAATCGGTAACACCTACCCCACCCACCACCACACGGGAAAAGGAAGGTAATAGCAGTTTTAATACCATATTTAGGATTCCAACGAACAAAAAGATACCTTTCATCATCAAAAAATTTGCATATATTGCAATAGTACTTCGCCATCGAAAATCCATTACATGAAGGTGTCATGCACATAGGCCCGATAGGCTGTATATTCAGGCAGCGCATACACATCATTTCCAATGTTGCTTTTCTGTAATGATCAAGCAGATGATTAGAACTAAACACTATTATAAAACACAAGAAATCCCATGAGAAATTTACCTATCCATCGTGTGATCACTGACATTGTCATGACAAAATCTGCAAGTAAATAACTTGCCACAACATTCAGCCCGAAGCTTGCAATTTCTCTTATAGTGATCACACCCAAATACAAGTTTCTCTGGGTCTCGAAATGATGGTGAGAGTCCTACTATTTCTACACTGTTAGATGATCCTTCCGAAAGTGCTTTAGGTGATTGCTGCTGGGCAGCTATCCATCGACTAGTCAAAGGCAAAAACCCAATCAACGGTTGGAGTTTGATGTCAATGAAGGCTAAAGCACTATCGGACAAATATACAGAAAATGTTGGTCCTGTAAAAGAACACTAAAGGTATGATCATTGGAACCAACCTTGTCAATAGATTCTGCACAAGATATGCCTTTCTCCTTGGATCAAGTGTTGAGTCTCGATATACCTTCCGGATCTCTGACTCAAGTTCATTCTGATTCATTCGAAATATGTCTTTCCAACCTGGCTTGAACATCGGATCATTGTGGCCCAAGCTTTCTCGACCTTCAGCACCTAGGGAAAAAACAAGTTAATAACACATTATGATATTAAATATCAGAATCCACAATTTCCACAAAAAGATGAAAGAAACAAAAATCACATTAAATACCTCTCGGAGAAGTGCTATGATCTGATGCTTCTTCCTGTGCTATAGACACTGGACTCTCTTTCCAGCATTCACTAAGCCATTCATTGAACATAGTGTTCTTTGTTGCTTGTTTCCATGTATCCATCATTCTGTTCTGTTCATCCTGAGTAAGGGCAGATGTTACCCATGGTAACATTGATTGGAGAACTTCAGCACCCGTCGTTCCAATTATCCGACCCACTATCTTGTCTTGTTCTTCCACAGTAAAATGTCTCCCAAACAATGGCCACAGTTCACATTCTTCTCTGAAGAGATGCTGATCAAGGGTCACTCTTATGGATTTGCACATCCCCTGAAGCTTAGTAGCAAGTTCATTATATTTTTTTATGACATCACTAGTATTATTGCCATCAGAGGTTTCAAAATTACTTTCACTTAAACTCTCAGCCATGTGGGTCATCTGCAAGGATTCATGAATGACAGAAAACTCTGAAAGAACACAGGAAATGTCTTCAAACAATTTTTCTTCCTGCTTATGGTCTAGCATGTATGAATGACTCACATTATGAAGCGCCTCTTTGGATTCCAAAGCTGGAAATACTATATCATCTTCAGCATTACTATGAGCTCTATATAAACCCCACAAGAGTCGAAATCTTCCATTAAATTGCCGAATAATTGTCTCATCACCATCTCGCAGCTTTCCTGATTCAACATCAAGATACTCCAAGTCTTTGCGTATGGCTTTATGGAATTTAAAGATTGTATCAATTGGTCTTTGTGTCCATCCCACATTGCAAGACCCTCTCTCTGTTTCCCATACGAACAGACTGGAATTAATAGATGGGGCAAAAGAGCTGAAAGACAAGGAGCGTAAGGACTTGGCTGTAGAGAGAGAGCTCAACCCTAAATTGTTACTATTTACTCCCAAACCTGGCACACAACAAGACCGTGGACTACAACATTGTTTCTCAATGCTTTCAGTCTCCGAAGTTTCTGGCAAATCTTCATTTTTGTGCAACTTCAATATGTTTCGTTTGACTTCTCTTTTGTTCTCTCCTGATTCTGTTAATACTGAGCAATGTCTATTAGATAATGTAGATGAACAAGCACAGGATATTGGATCAATGTATTCTTCAATGTCAGAAAGTTTATGTGCAGGACAGCAACCTGATGCACCTGAAGACAAACACTGACCTCCACTACGAGCCTTGCAACCCCATCCACAGAAGAGTGTAACTAGAGCAGAATCTGTTGCTGGAGCTGAAACAGATTAAGAAGTTGTCAAATATAGATTAAACAAATAAAATTATCAGAGATATAATTATTTTAAGGTCGCAAGGAACTTTGAAGAGACATAGGACCTACCTGCCAACTGCATATTTCTCTGAAACATCTTTGCTTCATCTTCAGTAAAAGATCCTACCAACCATGGCAGGACACGCTCAATTAATTTCAAAGGCATCATACATAAGCTTTGATACAAAAGTTCACATTGCCTTCTAAAGCTAAAGTGCTTTCTTGCCAGAGGAAGAACCTACACATGAGAGGGATGAAGAACACTTTAATAGATTAACAGATTAACAGAGAGCTTAATAAAAAATTCCTTATAAAGAACTTTGGATTTATCAACTTCTACATATATGGCATTGAAATCCCAGCAATAGATTAATTACTCTCATTGCAATTAACAATGCATTTGCATCTCACACTCTTATCTCACAGTAGTAACTCAAAGATTATCACATGACCAATGGTGAATCACCTGAACTTCTTCATTGTGGAAATGCCTCTGTATGGTTTCCATTATATGATCAGCATGTGTGCATAACTTGGAGTAAAATTCAACATCTGAATTGGATGATGCTCCTTCACTTTGAATATTTTCAATCAAACTTCGGAAGTCATTAAATTGGCTTTCTTCTTCAGCATGCTCCTGAAAGAAAGAAAACTCTCCATCGACCGCCGGAAAAATAACCTTGTCCTCAGCAATACTACATTTATGAAAAAAGTAAATAGTCAATATTTCAGATAATAGAGTTTCCCTTAAGATAAATTATCAAACTGCTTACAGAAGAAAGGTATGGTACTCGCAAAAGACAAACATTGATCAAACTAAATCAATCTGATACCTGTGAAATATGCAAACATCGGCTATGAATTGAAATCTTTCATTAAAAGCAGACAGATTTGTAAAATCTCCAGAGTGTTGTATCTTTCTGGCCTCCACTGCTATCTCACTTAACTCTTTTTTTATTGCATTATGCCAAAGTAATATTTCATCTATAGGATGTGCTCCAGTTGTATCAGAAACGTCTATCATAGATCCAGAATATTTCCTTTTTCCACATGTTGTAGATTCACAGGCACAGTTTACTTTCTCAACCTGATTGGGTAATGACCTAGAACTGCATAAAACTTGAGAATGATCTACACAACTTTCAACTGAGTTAGCCCTATCTCTCCCTTCCATCCAGGTGAAAACAACCTTCAATAAGCAAGAATATGATAATATATAATACAGTTACATGTCAAATGAACTTAAATAATAGAACTGGACCAGAATATGAGAAACGAGTAATGTTTATTCCAAACAAACAATCTCTGCAATAGTGTCAATGTGGAACAGAACAGAGATGGACAACACAATTATTTGTGAAATAAAGATTTGAGAGACCTGGTCTCTTCTCTCTTTTTCTCAGAAACAATTCATGCACCTCCATTCCTCTCCCTAACTGCTTTATAGCTTCTCTCTGTATTGTAACCAACCAAAGAGTTACAACAAATATTCCATTATTTCTATAAATGATAGCTTCTGCTATTTTGATAAATATCAGATTAAACCACTATTTCCCTTAACTCCCTCTCTTATTCTTCTTAGTGGAGAAGCTCCTTATTGACCGTCAGTAATAATGAATGGCATCATCATCATCAATGCATAAAAAAACACTGGCAAATAAAAGGAAATAACAATGTTCTATTAGCATTTGAAAACCATACCTTTTGAAGAAGCTTCTCCTGTGGCACTATCTTGATTAAGCAATTTCGCAAATCCTGAGATTCATCAGGTGATATAGATGTTGAAAGCCACGGTAGAAAATCGACCATCATATTCACAGGAATACTGCACAGGAACTGCCAAACTAAGGATGCCTGTTCCTCCAGAGAAAACTTCTCGATAAGCAGAGGAAATACCTGATATCACACCACAAACCAAAAAATAAAATGTCAGACACATCCCAAGTAAATAAGATTGTTTGGCAACTTAAACTACATGACCATGACAAAATGTTACTCTAAGAATCTCCTTTTGGACACCAGCTAAAAAACAGATTTCTGTATTGTGAAAACTTCCTTGAAGGGAACAAGCAGTGGAACTTGATCATATGTTATCTAGCTAGTATATCAACCCATTAATAAAAAATGCTTCTCAGTACATATGAACCCCATTAATAAATAAAACGAAATAACACATAAACTAAAAGCTTTCAAGTACACATTAAACCATTAATTGATCACAAAAATAAATAATTTCCTCCATATCATTTCTACATGCAATTGGAACTGTGTGAAACTCTTCTGCAATGCTATCTTTAGTTCAATTTTAGTAGCAATTTGTACCCAAAGTACTCATTTACCAGGATGATAAAATTAGTGTCCAAAGTCTAAATAACTAGCATAATTTACATCTAAATTCCTAAAAAAGTAAAAGGACAGTTTTCTTTTCACATTTTGGTTATTTCTTAAACATAATTATGCTCACGTTTCTAAAGATCAATTTCCGCATATACAAGATTGACTTGTCTTCTAGGCATCTTTATAATGGTCAGCTAACTGTCTCGTGCCCCCATCAGGACAAATTTGTGGGCTGCATTTTGGTTTGTTCTTCTAGTTCAATATAAGGGGGTGTTTGTCAACCTCCTAAAACCAGATAATTAGGTACCATAGACAAGTTCAGAAATATTAAGTGTTTACTTGGTACTCCATTGAAACAAACTAGTTATTAATTGAAGGTTTTTTTAAAGTCAATACGGGTTTAAAAGAAACCCAACCAAAACTTGATTTCTTGATTTCCAAATTAATCAGTTTTTATTTAAATCGAAGTTTTATACTCCCACCACCTTTTTCTCTTCCCACTAAAACTGAAATTAAAAGAAAACTCACCAAGATTTACCAAACAATTCTATTCAATGTTCTCATCCCTAAGTAGGAAGGGTCCAAGATATCTAACCAGCACAACACATGGTAATGATCTAAATTTTAACCTCCAGCACATAACTCCACTCTTTTTGAACCTGCTCACCATAACCCCGTCTACTCCTATCATACCAGGAAAAACTCCAGTTCCAAGGCCTTTCTATGTAAACGAAATTTATTATTCACTTTGTCTTGACTCATCACCCTGGACAGTATCATCCAAAACAAGTATGTATGAGGCACTGGTTCTTAGAGTATAAGATAAATCTATATACTCTTCCATTCTTGTTCATAATAAAGTTTCTTTTCAATAAATTAAACAAAAAATCTTCAATTTCAGTTTATTTTAAACAACATTTTATGACATCTAACTTTTCGTTCATTAAATCCTGAACAACTTAATTGGCAAAATTTCTTCTTTGGCTTTTTGACTAAGGGGGAAAAAGCCAAAAACAATTGTTTCAAAAGTTCATATAGAAACACTTTGCCTGCTGCAATAATTTATAATTTAGATAAAATGATAATTTCACACATATAAAAGTCTAATCGACTTAATTCATCATTCCATGGCATACACTTGACTGCTCTATTTGAATCGCTAGACAAAGCCACATGATCGTGCTAAAAGTGCTCAACAAGAATACTTCACCCATCAAGTGAGCCAGCGGAAGGACTTCGTAAACATCACAAATATAACTTTTCTAGTCATACAGTTGCACTTCATTAGCCCCTTTGGCACTTCCAATAGTAAATATTAACAGTTCTTTTTCACAGATGGAGCATTCTTTAGTCTCCAAACTCTTAGTATTTATCTTCTCTTCATCTTTGAAAATTTCTGCTTTTGCAATAATAATAATAGTAATCCTATCTCGTAGAGAGGAAATACCATTTCTTTCTAGTTATCTCATTGTACGATTCCAAGCAGAATACAAGGTAAGAGATGTTAAATAAATTTATACCTGCTCCTCTTCCTTTGCCATATGTTGACTAACTGACGTCTGTAAAGCTCCTGTGCAGGAAGCTAACTCTCTTGGAAAAGTTTCATCACTATTGATGGAAGAATTTAAAAGCTCAAATAGATGATCAAAAAGGTTGTTTTCACCCTTGTGTTCGAGAGAATATGTCTGTGCTACATTCTTCACACGTATATCTAAATCTGGAAATATCACCTACATTCCAGAATATATTTCCCTCAGAAAGTTTGAAGCATAGAAAAAGATAAGGAGTGATAAAGCCAAATTAATAAGATAATGCTTTTGAGAGAGTGGGAAAGATGCACATCCCAAGCATAACTCAAACATCATAAAAGAAAAGGCAGTCGTCAAATTTATCAAGAAACCAGTAGGGAGCTCTGATATTTTGAAATTTGAAAAAAACTTCCCATCTAAATATACATTACTAATTTATTAACTTACTAGCTTATAAAAGCATAATTTAGTGATGAACTAAATTAGTATCAGCATCAGTATTCAATCTGATTTTTTTCTTTTTCTGCTACATAGCATTCAATCAGTTTTGTTGCGGACAGACAAGTGAACAATCTTGCAATAGCACAAATAAGTAGGTTTTTACTTAGTCTCCCATGCACGTTACACAAACATGTGGTTTAAAAACAGATGATAACCAAAAAGATTAGAAAACATAGCAGCCATTGAGGATATCATACCCAACTCTTCAATTCTAAAAATTTTCTTCCGCACCTGGATATAAACAGAATACTAGAGAAGATGAAAAAACATGTTTAGCCAGTAAATCAAATTATACTGTACATAAAAAAAATCAAAAGGAGAGAAGCAAATTCTCCGAAACGATTCTAGAAATCATTCCGGTTGGACTATGCTCAAACCAGTAACCAAATATGAAAGTTTGACCTAAATTAACCAAGAGGAGATGACTAAAGGAATTGAAAAAAAGAGTGGCATTTCGTTCGTCATTGAAAATGCAAGAAACTATAAAATCTTCAGTCACGAGACCGTTTCTCTCGCCAAGGGAAATTAGGTTACACAATCTAACAAGGAGCGAACTCCGAAAACATAAAGATGAACAAAAGATTAACACCTCGTCTTCAGCATTGGAGTGGTGCCTGTACATGGAGCTGAGGAAATGGTAGCGCTCGGAGAGCGGTTTAATGTCGGAGCGGTTGCCGGTGGCGAATGCCAAGGCCAATCTGTGAAGCGCCTCAAGCTCATTCCGAATTGCTTTGTGAAAAAACAAGAAAATCAAAATCGGCGACTCCGTTTTCGAGCACTTCAAGTCGTCCTTGAGAGCCGAGGCGGAGTCTACCTTGTTTACGGAACTCGAGAGCACCGCCACTCCTCCTCCGTCCAACGGCGTTGCCATGCTGCGGTTTCTGTAGCCCAACTTTCTTGGACTTTCTTTTCGTTTTTTTCTTCCTTTCTTTTTTTTCGAAAAAGTTAAAATTGTGTCTAAGTGGTTGATCACTTTATCAGCTTATTGTTTGTTTGCACAAAATCAGTGAGTGATGTGCGTTTGGTTATCCGGTGGCATGGACGGTTCTAGAAAGAAAAATGGTTGAAGAAAGAGAGAGAATTTCTGTGTTAAATCTCTTTTGTCGATATGTTCTTGTGAAGCGAAGAAGGAAGACGAGATTGGTTTCGCTACTACGCCCATAAGAAAGAGAAACTTACGAGCGCCAGAGCCAGAGAGGACCAATTTCACCATTTGGGTCCATGCCACGTGGCTACATGTGCCACGTTGGATGAGTATGTCAATTTCTGGTAACTCATTATAGTTTCTTCTCTTTTTATGTTTTCACCTCTTCAAGAATAGTCTTTTCTTTTTCTTTTAAAGGTAATGTATATATCATAAAAATAAGTAAAATAAGATTAAATCATTTTAAATTGTAGTACACAATTTATTTTTTATACTTTAAATTTATAAATATTTGTGTACTACAATTTATAAATCATAATCTCTATTAGTTTTTCCATAACTAGTGAGTAATAATAAATTATCCTTTCACATAAGTTACCTGTTGGATAGTGCTTATAGTAATCTGACTCTAAGTGTGTACAAAACTAGCTTTTATTCTCCTTTCAGTATTAAAAAGCCAAATGTGTAATTAAAATATGGAAGTAATATAAAATATAGGAATGACCTATGCTTAATTTTAGGTTAATTTTTATTGTCACCATAAATAGCCTAAATCCAAAAATAAAAATCTTAAGTTATTTCACATATAACATAAGCTTGTGGAATTAATATTAGTGTTTTTACATTTTCTTTGTTGGTCACTTGTTCAAAGTGTCTGAAAGCTGGATTTTTGCTATGAAATTTATTTGAAAAAGAAAATTTGAGGGACATTTCAGAACTATTTCCGTCTTGATCCAAAACATTGGGTGGAAATAAATCGATACACGACAACAATTACCTAACAAATGTGAAAAATCACTGTTAAATGATTTTTTAATTATAAATTATAAATATACATATACAATTCTGAGTACCAACAGTAGAATGTGGTAAATAATTATTAAATCATGTGTATGTAATATTTTTTAATCTGGAAAAATTAAACATATGTAAGAAAATTTTGGATAAGACCCAAACAACCTACCTACCAACTACAATGTATTCATTGACAAATGTAATAAAAGTGAAGTATATGTGTACAGTGTTTTTATAAATTCTTATTTTTCACTCTCATATTTAATTACATATCATTACTGATACAGTTGTCAATGTAAAAAAAAGTATTTTCTATATGTTAGCATGTAATAACATATTATAATACATATATCAAATAAAAGTATTTAATTCAAACTTAACTAAAATTTTCAAATTATATTTAGCTTTTGATCTAAATTAAAATTGATTTAATTATGTTTTAAAAACTTTATAAACTTTTAATTGAATTTATAATAAAATTTTATAATTTATTGAGTACTTAATAAATATATATTTTTATTTAAACTTTTGTTGATATTTTTTTTTTGTTAACTTAGTGATNTCAATTCTAAAAATTTTCTACCGCACCTGGATATAAACAGAATACTAGAGAAGATGAAAAAACATGTTTAGCCAGTAAATCAAATTATACTGTACATAAAAAAAATCAAAAGGAGAGAAGCAAATTCTCCGAAACGATTCTAGAAATCATTCCGGTTGGACTATGCTCAAACCAGTAACCAAATATGAAAGTTTGACCTAAATTAACCAAGAGGAGATGACTAAAGGAATTGAAAAAAAGAGTGGCATTTCGTTCGTCATTGAAAATGCAAGAAACTATAAAATCTTCAGTCACGAGACCGTTTCTCTCGCCAAGGGAAATTAGGTTACACAATCTAACAAGGAGCGAACTCCGAAAACATAAAGATGAACAAAAGATTAACACCTCGTCTTCAGCATTGGAGTGGTGCCTGTACATGGAGCTGAGGAAATGGTAGCGCTCGGAGAGCGGTTTAATGTCGGAGCGGTTGCCGGTGGCGAATGCCAAGGCCAATCTGTGAAGCGCCTCAAGCTCATTCCGAATTGCTTTGTGAAAAAACAAGAAAATCAAAATCGGCGACTCCGTTTTCGAGCACTTCAAGTCGTCCTTGAGAGCCGAGGCGGAGTCTACCTTGTTGACGGAACTCGAGAGCACCGCCACTCCTCCTCCGTCCAACGGCGTTGCCATGCTGCGGTTTCTGTAGCCCAACTTTCTTGGACTTTCTTTTCGATTTTTTCTTCCTTTCTTATTTTTCGAAAAAGTTAAAATTGTGTCTAAGTGGTTGAACACTTTATCAGCTTATTGTTTGTTTGCACAAAATCAGTGAGTGATGTGCGTTTGGTTATCCGGTGGCATGGACGGTTCTAGAAAGAAAAATGGTTGAAGAAAGAGAGAGAATTTCTGTGTTAAATCTCTTTTGTCGATATGTTCTTGTGAAGCGAAGAAGGAAGACGAGATTGGTTTCGCTACTACGCCCATAAGAAAGAGAACTTACGAGCGCCAGAGCCAGAGAGGACCAATTTCACCATTTGGGTCCATGCCACGTGGCTACATGTGCCACGTTGGATGACTATGTCAATTTCTGGTAACTCAGTATAGTTTCTTCTCTTTTTATGTTTTCACCTCTTCAAGAATAGTCTTTTCTTTTTCTTTTAAAGGTAATGTATATATCATAAAAATAAGTAAAATAAGATTAAATCATTTTAAATTGTAGTACACAATTTATTTTTTATACTTTAAATTTATAAATATTTGTGTACTACAATTTATAAATCATAATCTCTATTAGTTTTTCCATAACTAGTGAGTAATAATAAATTATCCTTTCACATAAGTTACCTGTTGGATAGTGCTTATAGTAATCTGACACTAAGTGTGTACAAAACTAGCTTTTATTCTCCTTTCAGTATTAAAAAGCCAAATGTGCAATTAAAATATGGAAGTAACATAAAACATAGGAATGACCTATGCTTAATTTTAGGTTAATTTTTATTGTCACCATAAATAGCCTAAATCCAAAAATAAAAATCTTAAGTTATTTCACATATAACATAAGCTTGTGGAATTAATATTAGTGATTTTACATTTTCTTTGTTGGTCACTTGTTCAAAGTGTCTGAAAGCTGGATTTTTGCTATGAAATTTATTTGAAAAAGAAAATATGAGGGACATTTCAGAACTATTTCCGTCTTGATCCAAAACATTGGGTGGAAATAAATCGATACACGACAACAATTACCTAACAAATGTGAAAAATCACTGTTAAATGATTTTTTAATTATAAATTATAAATATACATATACAATTCTGAGTACCAACAGTAGAATGTGGTAAATAATTATTAAATCATGTGTATGTAATATTTTTTAATCTGGAAAAATTAAACATATGTAAGAAAATTTTGGATAAGACCCAAACAACCTACCTACCAACTACAATGTATTCATTGACAAATGTAATAAAAGTGAAGTATATGTGTACAGTGTTTTTATAAATTCTTATTTTTCACTCTCATATTTAATTACATATCATTACTGATACAGTTGTCAATGTAAAAAAAAGTATTTTCTATATGTTAGCATGTAATAACATATTATAATACATATATCAAATAAAAGTATTTAATTCAAACTTAACTAAAATTTTCAAATTATATTTAGCTTTTGATCTAAATTAAAATTGATTTAATTATGTTTTAAAAACTTTATAAACTTTTAATTGAATTTATAATAAAATTTTATAATTTATTGAGTACTTAATAAATATATATTTTTATTTAAACTTTTGTTGATATTTTTTTTTTGTTAACTTAGTGATATAATAGTTAAGTAGTATTATTATGTTAATTTGCTGAATTGTCTTTATATGTAATATTATTATTTTAAAAATTTATAATTTAATAAATTTATAGATCATAAATTATAAATATATAATTTATAAAATTTTAAAATATTAAAAGTACATAATGAAAAGTTAACAACTATATTCAACTGAAAACTTGAAACTTATTAAGTACTTTATAAACCATAAAAATTTATTAGAAAATCAATATGAAAAGTTTTTAAATTTATCAGGAAATTTAAAGATAATTTAAACAAATACAGTCAACACCTTTTATATTTCCATGTGTATACATTCAAAGTAAGCACAAAAGAATAAAGGAACGTGATGACTCATGAGTTCCAAATAGGGTATAAAGAAACAGATGAATATTCAAGAATATTTGTTTATATCACCGAAAATGACAATAAAATAAAAGAAATCTTAGTATAAACAGAGTTAATTATTATTTTAGTAAGTGAAAGTCATAATCAAGGTGTTAGTTTGAGAAAAACCCTAGAAACAGGAGTAAGACAATGATTTCACAAATTATGTTTATATTTCAGTTTTGTTTTAAAAATAGACACTGTTGGTTGAGATGATGCGGATTAAATTTTAATATGGTATTATCCCTTCATATAAAATATATTAAAATATCATAAACAGTGAAGAGGGAAGTATATATTGTTTACTTGTTAAGCATTTATTATTTTACATACATGGAAATAAATTTTGTAAATGTATATATACAAATATTAAAAATAATTCTTTTAATAGTTTTGACTTTCAATTATGATATATCCTGTTAGGAGATAAAAAAAATTAAAAGTCTTGGTTTTGGATAAGATGTTATTGTGCAAATCTTCTAACTTTCCTTGTTTGACCCGTAATGCCTTTATCAGTTTAGTTTTATTTTTCAACCGTTGATATTGGAAAGCAATCGCACAAGAGTGTTGGTACTTTTTTATGTTTATAGAAAATATTGGAGAAGCTTTATAATGTGGTTACTTTGTTATTATATAAATAAATAACTGTAACTCCATTATAGTTATCAATATCTATGTCAGTGTTTTTAAATTTCAGTTAGTAATTGAATAAGAGGTATTGATTTTTCGTTAATTAGTTTAACCATCATTAAAATTGTTTAACTAGTAGTAATTAAATTTGTATTTTTTAATAAATTAAATTCACACATGTGACTGTTGATAAAAACTTTTTTCACAACAGTTTTGAACTCTATTTTACATTCAAAATTTTATCTTTTTATGATGATTTTGGAATTATCATCAAAGTCACTTTCTATTATTATATAAAATTAGTAAAATATGACCATAGTTTACTTTCTATGACAGTAAAATATTTATAAGATAAACAAATTGTTATATTTGTTATAATATTTAGATATATAGTCTTATTTATCTTATAATTTAAATTTGGTTTGGTATGTTGATGATAAAATTTAGACTACCATAATTTTCTTATTTATCTTATATTTGTCTTTTTTTATTGTTTAATTGGGATATTATTACTTTGGTTTAATCCTTTTCGACATCCCTATTTATGTACGAATGTCTCAATTGGGTCCTCGTTTTCTAAAGTGTATCAAAATGGTCCTTAATTTTGAAAATTGATATCAATTGAGTCCTTTCCGTTAGGTTGGCTGGACGGCGTTAAAAAAATTGATGAGTGGATGCTGAGATGACGAACGAACGCTCGTCCACCAGCGAACAAACGCTCGTCCATCAGCGAACGAACGCTCGTCGACCACCAAACGAACAGTCGTCCAGTGTGAAACAAACGGTCGTCCAGCAGTAAGAGGTCGACGAGCGTTCGTTCTCTGGTGGAGGAGCGTTCGTTCTCTGGTGGAGGAGCGTTCGTTCGCTCGTGGACGAGCGTTCGTTCGTCATCTCAGCATCCACTCATCAATTTTGTTAACGCCGTCCAGCCAACTTAAACTCAATTGATATCAATTTTCAAAATTAAGGACCATTTTGATACACTTTAAAAAACGAGAACCCAATTGAGACATTCGTACATAAATAGGGATGTCGAAAAGGATTAAACCTATTACTTTTTAAAAATTGTTATTAATTAAATAATTTGAAAATTAAAAAGTAATTTTCAGATCGTAATTCAAAAATTAATAAAATCTAATTTTTGAATTGTAATCCGATAATTATTTAGTTTCATATTATATAATTTAAAAGTGAATTTTGACTTTTAATAGTATATTTTGAAATTCTTTGCAAGAGATTGTAAATCCAAGAAAGGTAAAAGATGAAAAAAAAATAATGGAGGTGTGGGAAGAAAGAGCCACTCTTGAAATAAAGTCTGTTTGCTACATATTTATTCAACATGATTCCAATCCAATTTTAAAATAATAATTTATTAATTTATGACTAACAATTTAGTCATAAAACTTTGTTTATATAGTGTTCAAAATGATATTATATGCTTTTAAAATGGTAATTATTTTTTAATTTGTTCATTTTTGTTGACGGGATCTAAACCGTTAAGATTTTTCATTAGAATGATTTTCATTTTTTTACTTGGTTGTCACATCATCTAAAGTTGAGAATATTAAGAATAGGATGAAATTGTATGACAGTCACATATTTATTAATGACTCTAAAAGACATTGTGATGTTAATGATTAGAAAAAATAACTAAACTGAACAAAAATTAAAACCAATTTAAATATAAAAAAAGTTGAAAATCATTTTAAACTAAACTGACAAAACAGAAAACAAATAAATATCAAGGCTACTAATGAAACAATATTTTTTCCTAAAAGACATATAATGTTGCATATGAGTAGCCAACGCGAGCCTCCTCACATACCCGTGATTTATTTCATCCTTATAAGCATTTTTACAGCCACACGCCATGTCATGATTTAGATATTTCTTTTCGTGATTTTGGTATCATCTCCTGTTCTAGATCGAAACACGTTCTTTCTATATATGAACTTTTTCGATATCTTCTTTACATAACTGATTCCAAATTATGTTATTCCAAGTGATCGACATCGTCTCAGTAATAAACAGTATACATACAGTTACAACTATATTTTATCTATTTCCCACTTTTAATTCTCAAAAAAACAATTAAATTTCTTGATTTTTTCTTTACTCAGACTGTGTAAGGTATAAGTAAGCAAAACCAAAAAAAGAAAAGAAAAAAAAGGCAAAGCAGTCGTATATGCAAGGAAATGGAAAGATAAACGTAACTGTCATCTTTATTGATACATGTGCTAGACACAGGTATGACACATTAAAATATTGACATGTCCTTATACTCAAATGAATCCACTATGGTTAGTTTCCACTCTTTTAGTTTTAATCCCACTTTAGTTGGAGATTCCTTATCCATTCCTTCAATAATCAATCCCTAACTCTGTAACTTTACCAGTATATACTAACATAAAATAGTAATAATAATGCACACATTCTTCATGTCATTTTCATTCTAAACTTTCTACCACCATCTTAGTATCTATATATGCCCTTTTGTTTTAATATCAAATGGTCACTCCACTCAACAACAAATATTGAATCTAATGAAATTCCCAGCCTGCATTTCTCTCATATAATAAGTTCGTGCTTTAAAATATTCAAATTCTATGGCCTGAACCAGAACCTGAAGGCTCCACTGAATAAAGCAGATAGGAAAT